GAGCAGGGAGCCCGATGTGGGGCTCGATCCCAGGACCCTGGGATCATGACCTGAGCCGAAGGCAGACGCTTAACGACTGAGCCACCCAGGCGCCCCCATTTTTTTTTTTTTAATAAAGACATTTTAAGATGAACAAAGACTGGGACCATTTCTTATCAGTAGATTCACAATAAAGGAAAAAAGCTCTTCAAGCACAAGCATCTCATTAAACATTTTGAAGAACTAACTTTTGGCTTTATCACTCCGAGGTAGGAAATGTTTATATTCTATTTCAGTAATTTCTGCTCAAGGACTCCAGGAGTGAGAGACAGACAGAGACAAAGACAAAGAGGAAGAGGAGAGGTTCTACAGATCAAAAAGAAGAAGACAAACAGAAAATAGGGGCCAAAAGTTGAACAGTCACTTCATCAAAGAGGATATGCAAATGGCCAATAAACATGAAAACAGGCATGACATCATAGTCACCAGAAAAAAATACAAATTAAAAAATAAGCTATTGCTACACACTCACCAGTACAGCTACAATTTTTAAAAGAATGATGATGTCAAGTGTTGGTGAGGATACAGAGCTATCTTGGCTTCCCAGGTTCTGGTAGGGATGTGAGTTGGTACAACCATTTAGAAGACTGGTAGCATCTACTAAGTCTAAATGTGTATACACCCTATGATTCAAAATTTCACTAGGAGATATATACCCAAGAGAAAAAAAATGTACATGTGTACACTAGGGCTTTTTTCACATCGCATAGACCAACTGATAGAGGAAAAATATATCTCTACAGCTCTATCCATCCGCCGAACCAACTTACACTGCAGTATGAGTGAGATGGAAGGCCAACAGTAGCGTTAGCTTGGTTAGCAGAAGCACGTACTCAGGTGCCTACATCTGAACAGAACAGGACCCAAAGCATTTGAAGAAGTACACTGATGACGGTACATCCCTAGAAACTGAGTTATAGAGGATGTTCTGAAGGTCTGCGCCAGACCTGAGCTCCCTGACCTATTCTAATTTGCACCAGAAACCTTAAAATTGCAGTAAAATGTGCCTCCCCTAACAGGAGCACTATCAGCTAGAGAGCGCCGAGGGCTTTTTCAAGACACAACTGAAACCTGGACAGGATCATATGAGCCTCTCAGGAAAGGGAGGTCAAGACACGGGCCACACAGTGAGCAGAGGTTCATCTTGATTCATTCTCTTCCCCATGATTCTCTCATTTTAAGTTATACACTACAGCCAAGCCCACTCACTCTGACAGTGCATTTCCCCAACAAGCCACTGTAAATCGTCTCCGCATCTGGCTACAGGGTCTCCAATAAGAGAGTATCCTTCATTGCAAGTATATACTATGTTTTTCCCAACAGGAAACATCGCACCTTCATCCTAAACAGAAATGAAAGAGAGACAGAGAGAAAAAAGTATGTCCATTGTGCATTAACAGAATGTTTCTTTAGATATATTTGGCCTATCAATCATGCCTTCTTTGAATCATCAGGCAAACTAAGTTCAAATAACTAATTTAGAAAATTATCTATAAAAACATTTTTCCCTGTACGGTCCTAATCAACAACACTTGTAATTGAAATAAAGCCATTAACGCTACTCTACTATAATTTATTGATTGTCCCCAAGATACCAAGCACTGTCGTAAGCACTTATTAAAATTACTTTAGCGGACACTGCCCACATCACTGTTTTCCCCCATGTTTCAGGAAAAGACAGTTTGTTTTTGGATTTTGGAAAGGTACTTGTCAGTCAATTCTTCACACTAAGATGTTATGGACTCTTCATTGGCAATACTGCCTAATAAAAGCCAGTAGGAACAGACAGAAATATTCAGATCCTATCAGCGTGTGCATGAAAGTTTAAGTTTCTCATTGATGACGTTTAGAGGAAGCAGAACGCTGATCTTCTCCCATTCCACCCTCCAACCCCTACCCTGTCTGGGAAGTGCTGCTGGGACTGGGCCAGATTCAAGCACATGGTGTTGGCCTGTGATCCCAGGAGGTGAGCTTTCACAGTGAAGCAAGGAAGAATTTGAAGTCTAAGACCTAAGGATGTGATCATGCTCTTCTGGGGTTTCTCTTAGTTCCTTTCCTCATCTTTTAGGAATGACCCCAAGGGGAGGGTTGGAAGCTGGACCTGTTCTGCTCCAGGTATTAGAACAAAATCCCATGGTGCCTTTTTCTCTTCACTGTCAGTCCTAGCCCAGGCTGGCTCCATCATGGGAGTTGGTAGGAAACAGAGGGCCCAAGTTAATACCGAGGTTTGAAGAAAATGGGGAAGGACACTTGATTTGTTATGGTGCTAGTCTCTAGGCCTCCCTTTGCCTTGCAAAGGGGACTGCTATATGGGGAAGTTGAACTCAACAGTGCCCAAACTTAACTCTGTATCAGAACAACTAGTAGCAATTAAAAGTTGGGCGGGGGGACAACCTGGGTGGCTCAGTTGGTTAAGTGACTGACTTCACCTCATGTCATGATCTCAGGGTCCTGGGATGGAGCCCCATTACATCAAGCTCCCTGCTCAGTGGGGAGTCTGATTCTCCCTGTCCCTGTGTGCCCCCCCCCAACTCATGCCCTCTCACTCTCTCTCTCAAATAAATAAGTAAAAACTTAAAAAAAAAAAAAAAACACAACTCTCAGGCTCTACCCTAAATATACAGAATGAGAAAAAAATGGAAGATAAGGGACAAGCAGCAATCTCTATTGTTAAGTTCCCTGGGTGATGCAGCCCATCTGTGGGGCAGTGTTCAGAACCCCTGGCTCCTTACAGAACACACATGCACTGGAGTTTGGGACAACAGTTCACGATTTGCTGAACCACACAAGTTTGCTTGGCCTTGTTCTCCAAGCCTATGTTTCCTTCAGGAATTTTATCAATTGTGGTAACTGTATTGGGACATATGACTGTTAGAGAGGCTGGGTTCATTCCCCTATCTCTCTCTCTCTCTCTCTCCACACACACACACACACACACACACACACACACACCTCTTCCATTTCCATTACCTACATTTGGGGAAACTTCAGTGAAATGTCAGTGAGTGTATGTTTAAGGGCCTGGAATTTGAAAGGCAAATCCTTGTGGAGAAAGAAAGACTGGCAGCACTGAGAGGGTCCTGATGGACAGTATCTCTTATGTGAGCCAGAAAGACACTTCACTGCTTGGGGCCAAAGCCTCATCATAACAAGCAGTGAGAAGAACATGAATTAATATGGCCCCAAAGCCAAAAAAATGCCCTAGAATGACAAGTGGCAGATGACTTGTGTTCCTTCCTGAACGAGAAAATTGCTCAAAGTATAATGACCCATATCTCACCAACACTGGCAAAATGTCTTACTGGCTTCTGGAATAAACCCAATATTTCATCCCAAACCTCATGTTTATGAAAAAAATTTTTAAAGACATTTTTCAGTGGCAAGAATAAAGTTCTCTTTGTTGAAGAACTTGCTTATGGATTCCTATTTTAGTGTTCAAAATGGAAATGTTCAGCAGCCCTCTGGCATGATTACATTTCTAATTGGGCAGCAGTACTGATTTACCTGACTACAGAAGATCTACTGCCTTCTGCAGAATTCTAATCACCTTGGGCCAAAGAAGAAAAGTCACAAACCACTAAACTAAAATGCACATATAAACTATTTTTAGCTCTGTTTCATCATGGAAGAAGGAAATAGATTATGACATCAGTAGAGAGAGAGAACTTGGAGCAAAGGGTATATATGTAAAGGAAAATAATATATCTTCCATAACCAACTTGAACAAATCCATCTTTCAAGGCAGGAGGTGATGGACAGAATTCTTTTGGAGCCAAAGACAAAGGAAAACAATGTGGTTCAAGCAATCTGAAAGGAAAAGGAAACAAAACATAATTAATGTGATGGATTTCCACAGAATAATAAATATTTTGCAGCACAGTGAGTTTTTCATTTACATCTGAAGGGACTCCATTCACATAAATACGTGGATGTGACTGCCATTCTCAGAATCGCTATCTGATCATATCCTGTACTAGAAAACTCAAATATAAACTCAAGCTTCCAAAAAATAGCTAGTAAGTCAGTAGTATGAAGAACAAAAAGAAAGAGAAGAAAATAGAAGTCACTGGACAACACACCTACTTTATGTGATTTCTAGAGGTCACCTGTCTCAGACCTACTTTTTCTCCTGCTGTCTGCTTCTGAAATGCCTTTAACACAGAATTAATTCTGTATTAAAAATAAGGCAATAACACCGATCCTGCAAGAGAAGTAACACAAAAATAGTAACGAGCTTTGATTGAGCGTTTATTATGTGCTAGGTACCTTGGCAGTCGCTCTACAAATGTGCATTATCTCTACTCACATTCACCGTAGCCCTAAGAGGTATGTGAAAAAAACAGTGGCTCAGAAAGTTTGAATGACTTGGCCAAGGTTATAAAGTAATAAATATCAAGGCTGCATTCACATTGTAGTCAGTTAGGATCCTAAAGTCATGCTCTTTCTACCTCCCACAAGGCCATCTCTAGACGAAGCTCCTGATAATAGTCACAGTGATATCCAACATTAAACAATAGTTTTCAGTAGTTCCCCCAAAACTAGCATAGCATGCCAGCAGTATTACCCCCACTCCAGAGATTTGAAATCTGAGGGAAAACATGACAAATGGCCTTTGAGTGTTGCCTCCTCCTCAGCTGAGTTCCTTATACGCTTGCCATATTCTGAGGAAACTCACAAGTGTGAAGTCTTGGTTGTAATTTTCCTCTTTGTATGGAACAGGAGGAGATTTCCCCTCTAAGCACCAAGAAGAGCGAGAATTCCTTCAATGCCTTCCTTAGGATGCTCCTTTCCCTCCAGCTTTCTGTCTAGAGGCAGGGGAAATATGGCAACTCTGGCAGAGGGCTTCTCCAATGGAGACCCTCATCTTTTCCTCCTACCATAATTCCATATGCTCACCAGCCTCCTGGTCATGAGATATTCATTATTGTTGGATTATGAAGCACCAAATACCTAGGAAAAAGGCATCGCACCTCCCTATGCTTCTACCAGATACCTAACTATCTTACAGCTTTCTTCAACTCACATGACCTTCCAATTATCTTACTAGAATGTTTTGCCAATCCCTGATCAAAAGAGGTTAGTAAAGACAGTGTAAAACAGTAAGGTGTGGCCTGAAGAATTCTGACCGATGGGTATAATTAATCAACTAAGCATTTTGAGATAGCTTTTGCAAGGTCCTGGCAAATGAGAAGTTGGTGTCAGACAGCTGGGCTAATCAGTCTTGATATTAGCCATCTCCAGCATCTGGCTTTATGCTTACTCCTGAATGAATGAATGAATGAATGAATGAAGAGGATTGGTATATCTGAAAAGTAATACAACTATTAATGAATGCTTACTATGTGCCAGGCACTGTGCTGATCACTTTCTGTGCTGAATCTCATTTAATTCTGACAACACCCTACCATTGTTTTACCTTCTATGATTATACTAATTTTAGAGGTGTGGCAAGTAACTTGCCCACGGCCACCCAGCAAGTAGGTGGCGGATCTGCTTGATGCCAAAGCTGCTCAGATCTCCTTGGCCAGATGGCCTCCCAGTTACCCAGCCTTTTGTAACATCTGTGTCAGGAAAACTTGAAACACACAAGTGCTAGTTGGCCACACATGTCTTCCTCCGTCAAGTGACCCCACTGCTAAAGGCAAAGTAGTCACTGATAAAAATCGCCATTTAACTTCTAAATCTTTGAATAGCGGCAATTGCGCATCCCACGCTTACTGCCGAGGGCACTGCGTTCTATGCAATTGCCAGGAGGTCCGGCCGCTATTACCGCAAATGCTCCAGCTCCTCATGCTCGCATGGGCTGCTTTCCGATGGTTCTCCAATACAGGATCGCCCACCCTCACTGGGCAGTGGGTTATTGCATTCTCGTCTCCTTGTTTTCTTCCCTTGAACACAGGGGCCCCAAGAGGACCAGCAACTCCAGCCCCCATCCACTCCTCCTGTAAGATAAGAGAGAGCTGGTTCAGAAAGCCTCGGAGAGGAAGATTTCAGAGTTTAGTGCTGAGCTTCCCGCTCAGGTGGTTCCTGGGGGAGGGGACGGTCTGGGCACCCACTCCCTTCACTCGGTTCAGGAGGTCTTCTACAATGACCAGAATGTCTCTGCACCCCGACTAGGTTTGTCCAGGTTAAGGCTGCATTAACGAGCTTCTTGCAATAATATCTTAAATTTGTTTATTATTTTGCAACTGTTTCAGAGCACTTTTACAGACATTCTACCGTTCATTTAATTCTCTCCAGAATGAATCGAGATGGGCAGGAGGTCTGTGACCATTCTCAGTTGATAGGTGTGGAATCTAAGACAAGGTGGTTGAACGTCATGCCCAGTGCCCTAATGGCTGCCAAGAGCCACGTCCAGACAGCAACATGGCCTTACCGCGGAGTCCAGGCTCCTCTCGTTACAGCAGTTCCTATTGTGAACCTTTCTATTGTAAAAGCAGTGATGGAGCATGAGAACATAATCTACTGGGTATTCCCTACTCCTGACCCCAGAGCTGGCACTATTAAATGAGGAAGTGCCTAAGCAGGAGAAATGCATCTGCCTCCTGTCCACATCCCTCAGTCCACAGGCACTTGCTCAGCCCAGGCTGGCCACCTTCCAACTCAGGGCCGATTCACCACTAACAGTGCTTTTACAATTTCCCCCCATCATATTCCTTGGGGGAGGCAAGAGAGAACTTGCACTATAGTCTAAGAACTTGGCTTTCCTAGTTAGAAACTGATCTCAGAAACCATGCCGCCGAAGCATTACTTCCTGATGATAGATATGTTTACCGCTCCTTAGCTATTTCTACTGTGTGACCCACTCCTCAGTATCACACACACCAAAACTAAACTAATTTTGTAATATTTTCCCATGAGCTTCCTTATGCTTTCTTCCATAATTAGAAATTGAGCTAATAAAGTAGTCCCCTGAGCATATTAACAGGGCGTAATAATAGCTTGATATATTATGATTGTTACCCCAACCCCTACCAGCAGGGGGAGCTTCCATTTTCTCAAATAACAGGACATCCAAGCCACAAAGAAATGAAATCAAAGTGGTGGAATTTCAATTGACCAGACAGGCCACTTGGGAAGAGAATGGGAGGCAAGGATGCCTTCTTGATGCTTGTCTATAAGCAACCATAGTTTAGTCATGTAGTCATTCATTCATCAAACATTTATTAAGTGACTTCTATGAATCAAGCCCTGTGGGCTCTGGGATAAAAAAAGCAATCATCGTTCTGACCTTAAGAAATGAGCTTCCTAGAGGAGAGAGACATAAATAAATACAAAATTGTCTCGTACGTTGTCTACTCATAAAGTCAACCTCACATAGTTCTGTACTAAGGTACTTAAAGTACCAAGCATTCAGTTGGGCACATTCAGGAGATGTTCAAAAGCATTTGTGAATAATTGATTGATGGAACATAACATAAAATAAAAAGAGATATTTCAAAGAGCTTACCATCAGAAAGGTTAAGCTATGCATACACCAGCTCCACAGACCTATGTTATGACAAAACTTTAATGAGATGACTATGGAAGGACAGAGGTGTATTAGGCATTAATCCATTCCAGTGGAGGGCATGGTGGGTCTGTTAATTAAGACAGGAAAACAGAGGGGTTCCTGGGTGGCTCAGTCGTTGAGTGTCCAACTCTTAATTTCAGCTCAGGTCATGATCACATGGTCGTAAGATCGAGCCCTGCGTCCCTCAGGCTCCATGCTCAGCAGGGAGTCTGGCTTGAGATTTTCTCTCTCTTCTTCTCCCGCCCCTCCCCCTCCTTGCATGCACACTCTCTCTCTCAAATAAATAAATAAATCTTAAAAAAAAAAAAAAGACAGGAAAACAGAGACAACAGAGGGCCTTGACCCAGTAGCTTGAACCCAGAAGTGAAATAGGAAGGGAGACACTAAATTAAAATGCCCATACACAAAGAAGCACAATGTCAAGGGCCAGACGGAAAGAGTGATTCCCTTTTCATGGTGTCCAGCACAACCAGCAAAAATTCAGCACACTGACCTGCATCATTCCCTACGAGGACTCCTTGCTCACAAGCCACACCAAATGTATATGGTTTGCAGTGGCACTGACATTGAGTCCCCTCAACTGTGGCAATGCCACCATTTTGACAAGGTCGGCAATGGCAGGGGTCAAATTCATCCAGATATTCCTCAAGCGCTTGCCTCAGGTATAGCCTTTTCACGGAGGCACAGGGTACTTCTTTTACCAGCTCATACAAAGGTGTCAGCTATACAGATAAAGACATCATGGTCAATAATCAGGGTTTTAGGCAAGAACACTTCTGGCATTTAGGATCAATCCCCATTAAAATAAAATGAAAAGCCACTCATGTGAATTCCAATTGTTTCTTGTTCAAACAAAAAGAAAGCAATTCACTTTCTTTGCAAGGCAAAAGGAAAAATAGGAATAAATAAGGAAGAAGTATTTTGCATAAAATTTTTCAAAACCAACAGGACATCCATTTTCCAGTTATTGAAAGATTATTTTGAAGGCAGTACATTTCCACCCTTGCAGAGGACAGAAGAAAAGGAAATACACTTAAATTACAGTGAAGAAGCAAGTGCAAATAAATTTACAATTAAATACCCTGACTCTAAGAGACTTAACATGTCTCTTAATGGAGACCGTGACTATTTTTCCCTGAAGAAGTTTAAAACAGATAGACAGGGCAACCCTCTCGGGTCCCCTCCCTCTTTGGGAGCTTTGCATTCTATCATTCAATAAGCTTTACTCTCGCTCAATAAACCTTGTTTTGCTGCCCCCCAAAAAATAAAATATAAATAATAAAAATAAAACAGATAGACATTATTGTTCTGTGTTGAATACGTCTAGTGAAAAGCAACTTGGAGACCCTAGATGTGCTGGCTAAGCTTTAACAATCTGCTCTCCTAAGAGCAAAAATGCTCTGATTTGTAGCATTTGCCAGTTTCCGCAGTATAAGAACTCTCCCCATGGCCAATCTCAGGTTGCCACTGGAATGCCAATGACCGTGGAGTTGGGAAGATATAGGCACCACTGGCTCTTGTGAAGGTCTGAGTTGGTGGCAGCACATCACTGCAAGGATGAGGATAACTCAAAAACTCAGCCACATCTCCCTCCATCTCGGCCCGAGCTCTCTTACACCGCATTATGAAAGAACAGACTGCATGGCCTTGCGTGGACATACACTGATAGTGAGTTAGCACAGCTACCTATGATAGTTACAGTCTGATGTGGAGAAGAGCAGAGGTGAGAATGAGAAGGAATGTCTGTTTCTCCCTAATCAACAATTTCGAATTTTTCAAGATTTGTTATGGGGCTCTGGTATTGAAAATAGGTCATTGTGAATATCGATGGTGGCACTTTAGGATAAGACCTGCTGGGAAAACTACCCTCCTCCCTTCACCCTTATTCCGAGGCAAGTGGGTGCATGTGGTGTTAGGAGGGTACTCAAGGAGCTATTGTGATTTGGTGGGTTGTAAAATGTATCCAAGTTTCACCTGGGACATTGCTTGATTCCCATGACAGTGAACAGATCAGAGAATCAGTTCTGCTACAGCATTTGTTTTGAAAATGTGAGTTTGTTGCATTGAGACGGATGTATTAGGGAACACTATGATCGTATCGCAAATTTTGTGTGTTCTTATGTACAATTTCATCCACAAGAAAAACCAGGTGAAACCAGAAAAGTGGACACAACCCAAGATAGGATTGCACAAAACGCACACATACAAACACACACTTCAGACATCATCAGGGTCACTGCCTGTACTAACCTTCACCCATCCACATCTGGGGCTACAGCTGTCTGTCCTCTGGTAGCTCTCCTTCTAACGCTTCACAATCATTCAGAAGCTCCAACCCTCCCATCACCCAGCAAGCTTCAAGTCTTTTTCTAGGAATTGTGCCACCTTAATGTAGTAGATGCATTTCTTAACAATTTAACACATAGAAACCCATGCTATTGTTTTTACTGATGTCTGTCTTTTTTTTTTTTTTTAATGAGTTATCACAGATAAGTTTTTGAGTTTGGTGTCTTTAACCCCATTTTCCCCATAAGTCAGGTGGTCTTTACTGTGCAATTCTGCCTAGTTCTCGGATTTTTAGAAGCACATATGTTGCATTATAAAAGAACTGACTGTGTCAATAAAACATCCTAAAATTCGGCCAGACAAATTTGTTCTATCTTAATGTACACGTCTCCAAGAGCCTGTATGTCATGGCCAGAGGAAGAAAGGTAATCTGATGGGACAGTAGACAAGCCTAAATGCTTTCCTCTTGCAAGAATCTATAATTCTCTGAATAAGAGACCAAGGAAAACATAATCAAATTTTGGTCAAAAGCTTAATATGCAAATTTCGTTATTAATTTCTCTTGGTATTTACAAGACATTTAACCTTTACAATTGAATTATGGACATAGAAGATAATGAAGCTTCTGTTTATTATTATGTATGCATTCATTTCACTATACAAAACATAATTGGGATACAGAAAATGCTAATCACAGCTATCTCTGTTTAACCACCTTGATTTAATCTCATTTTCCCAGTGCAAAGAAACATGCCTGCTTTGTGCTGCTTTCAACAGAGCAGGACATACCTTTTGTTTTATGACTTGGGGAAGACCAGTCACAGATTCTGCCCAGGAAGAATATCGCTGTTTGTTTCCAGCAGGATTGTCCAGCTCCAGGAAACTGAGACCAGACACGAAGCCTGAACCTCCCCCCCTGACAAACGGGTCCCCTCGCAGCACGTTGAGCTGAGTTCCTACACAAGGAGAAATCAAATCAAGTAAGTCAGGATGCACAAACGAAACGAAAAGGAGAATATGAAAGTGAAAAGTCTATCAAGCACTAAAACACAACCCATCCAACTTTATGACGTTCGGGAAAAGGAAGAACTATAGCGACAGTAAAAAGATCAGTGATTGTCAGCAGTGGTGGGTGAGAGAAATAAATAGGTGGAGCACGGAGGATTTTTAGAGCAGTGAAAATGCACTGTATGATCCTATATGGTGGATACATAGCATTAGACATCCGTCCAAACCCACAGAATGTACAACACCAAGGCTGAACTTGAACGTAAACTGTGGACTGTGGGTGATCATGATGTGTCAATGCAGGTTCATCAATTGGAACAAACATTCCACTATGGTGGGGAATGCTGATCGTGGGGAGGCCTCAGTTTCTGACAGGAGTATATGGAAACCCTGTCCTTTTTGCTCAATTGTGCTGTAAACCTAAAACTACTCTTTAAAAAAATGTCTATTAAAAGAAAAGAGAAGGGACGCTTGGCTGGCTCAGTCGGTGGAGCATCCAACTCTTGGTTCCGGCTGAGGTCATGATCTCAGCGTTGTGGGATCAAGCCCCGCATTAAGCTCGGGATTCTCTGGCTCCCTTGCCCTCCGCCCCTCCCCCTGCTTGCGCATGCACAGGAACACACATGCTCGTTCTCTCTCTCTCAAATAAATAAATAAAATCTTTTAAAAAATAAAATCTTAAAAAAAAGAAAACCACAATCATTACCTGAAAGTAGATGATTTTAGGGAATTATTGTTCATATTCTTAATGTTCTTGGTATAATAAGAGCATTACGTTATATAGGAGACTGTATTCCTTCTTAGAAAATATATGCATAAATTTTGGGATGAAGCATCATGAAATTTACTTCCAAATGGTTCAAGTACAATTATAAATATTTTAAATATATAATATTTATATATTGTTGAATAATCCACATTATAAATATTATATGTCCATTATATACAGGAAAATGTCATAATAATCGTTACATAGAGGAGGTGGGTATATGGGTATTAATTACTATGTTCTTTCTGTTTGTTTGAAAATTTTCATAATAAAATGGGGGGAGTTCATTGCATCTGGAATACTAACAATAAGCAAAAAAGCTATTAATTAACAGGCATACGTTAACACATGAAGAGTGTTCTAAGCAGTGAATATTAATTGAATTCTTTTCCGCATTTATGTGCCCTATAATTTCAGAAATCTTTTTGTCTCCATTTGTGGTTGATTTTTACACTGGTCATGATTGGAAATTCCTCTCTTGCAGACCAGATTTGGGGTGATTTTCAGTTCACTTCTTTTAACTAAATTTTGCAATTTCATAAAATTTTCATAAAATTTTTCAAATTCAAAAACTGTACATTTATCAGAAATTATTAAAGCCTGATGTTTTTAATAAATTACCAAGTATTTCCTCATCTTCATTGTTAGCTCCGTTTTTAATATGCAAACAGTCTCCCTTTGAAGGCAGCGTGTCACAACATCCAGTCCCTCCAGGACCTGACTCCAAACCACCTGGAGTGACTACACATTTCTGGGCTCCAAGATGTATGAGAGAACAGCTGGGAGGAAAGCCCTGGAATCAGCATTTTAACAAGCTTCCTCAGATTATCTCGGTGTATACTAAAGTTGGAGAAATCGCGGGCTTCACTGGCAGACCTTTTTACGAATTACAGATTCTAAGAAATCAGTTTTAATTTTATTTTTAAGCCTGTAGCCTCTGCGTCCACACCTCAGTGAGCTCCCTGCTCCAGCTGGCAATCTGTCTTCCCCTAGACAATCAGCCTGGTGCGACAATGAGGAGCCCCGACTGTGAAGCCAAATGTCATGCCCTTGAATCTCATGTCTGACACTTACCAACTGCGATCTTGGGCAACCTTTCTGTGACTCAGTGTCCCTGTCTGTATAATGGGAATATGAATAATACCTAACTCTTAGATAGGAAGAATACGTTGGCTAATTTTTGTAAATCACTTAAAAGTGTGCTGGGCACATAGTAAACACTATGTGTTTGCTAAACACAAAATAAAATAAAATCAGTGAGCAGCTTCCAGTTGCTCATGTTACTGAGCTTCCCAAAGCTCCCACTCTCATTTCTATTTCCAGATCACTATATTTCCCTTTCTTTCAAAAACCTGTCCTCCTCCTTTGTCATGTCAGCTCCACGAAGACAGGCATTCTCTTGGGCATGCCACCACTTGTACCCCAACGCCTAGAACAAATCCCCCCCAGGCCCCAGAAACAGTTGATGAATGAAGGAGGTGAATGAGTAAATAAACCTGGTTTCACTCCTCTGTCTCCCTCCTTCCTGCAGTCATCTGCCAGCATCCCAAGAATCCCCACTTCCTCGGTAAGAACTCTGACACCTGGGTCAGTCTTCACCTTTGCCCCAATTTCTGCCACCACCCTGGGAGAACTTAAGCTCTAGTACCACTCAGTCCATTGCTACCACACTAAGCATCTCTTCATTGTAAGGCCAGTAAGTTGAAATCACCAAATTCAATGAAGAGTCAGTCTCCAGTCCTTCTCTTATTTAGCTTCTCTCTAGAATTTCTCTGTTTATCTCTCCTTCTCCTTTACTTTTAATATCACTGATCTTTTCAGGTTCATTTTTTTTCCTGTTTTTCTTAATTTTTTTCTTCTTTTTTTGTTAAGTGGGGTCTATGCCCAACGTGGGGCTCAAACTCAATGACCCTGAAATCAAGAGTCGCATGTTCTACCGACCGAGCCAGCCAGGCACTTCTTTCCTGGTTCTTGTCCTATCAGTTTATCCTTTCTCAGTCCCTCTTCTTTCTCTACAACGTTCTTTGTAATCTTTCATTTAGTCACTCCCTGTATTAAATCCTTTAACGGCACCCCTTGTCATCAGAATGAAATCCCAATTCCTTAACATGGCATCTAGATACAATCCAAATCAGTTTATTTTTCCAGTTCCTTTTTCAATCACTCAAAGAATAGCACACCACCTTCCCCACTCCCTCTCCCACCAGCACCAGCAGCAGCAGCAGCAGCATGCACCAAAAAGTGCACTGAGCATCCATGTCAGAGTGGAGCTGAATCTTTTCCTGCTGGTGTCCTTTTTCTAAGCTTGATTGCCAGCAGTCATCATAGGGGACAAAGGTAGGATACACTGAGGACACATTTACAGTGCACAGAGATAACCAGTGAACTTCCCACTCTGCATGATGTCTCACTGCCATGACATATGAAAGAGAGATCAGAGGCAAACATAACCAAATACATAAAAAACATAAAATAGAACACCTGTTAAAATCTCAAAGGCCCTTGGAGGCCAGGAATTAGCCACAAGAGAGAGGGATGGAGATTAAGTTTGTAAAGCAAATTGCCCCTTTCTTATTTACCTGAATCTGATTTTAAGGCCTCTTCCAGCTTTTGGCATTTGCCCTTTGATGATGTAAAGAAAAATTTGAAACTTGAGGAAGCACATCTCTTCATATCTGCTGAACCAAGACCTGAGGAAAAAGTTGTAAAGGTGCTTAATTTTTGCATTTGTTAAAAAACTCCTTTTGAGGGCGCCTGGGTGGCTCAGTCGGTTAAGCGACTGCCTTCGGCTCAGGTCATGATCCTGGAGTCCCGGGATCGAGTCCCGCATTGGGCTCCCTGCTCGGCGAGGAGTCTGCTTCTCCCTCTCCCGCTCCCCCTGCTTGTGTTCCCTCTCCCGCTGTGTCTCTCTCTGTCAAATAAATAAATAAAATCTTTAAAA